CCACCCCTGCTGTCCTATGAACTGAACCTAGGGCCTCATGCAAGGTTGGCAAGCATTTAGCACTGAGTCACATCCATGCCTCTTTCTCTCTTGCTTCCCGGCTGCCTTAAGATAAGGAGCTTTGCTCCTCTATATGCTGGCCACCAGGCCCTTCTCCTCACCAAGCTCCAGAGAAATTGTGCAACCCATCCACTTTTTTTTTTTTTTTTTAGTTTGAATCCTGGAATGCTTTACTGAGCTACATCCCTAGCTATTTATTTATTTTTTTAAAAAAAATAGGACTTTTTTTTTTAGTTTTTGAGGTGGACACAATATCTTTATTTTATTTTTATGAGGTGCTGAGGATCGAACCCAGTGTCTTACGCATGCCAGGCCAGTATGCTACCACTTGAGCCACATCCCAAGCCCCCCTAGCTATTTATTTCTTATTTTGTGAAAAGTTCTAAGTTGCCTAGGCTGGCTTTGAACTTGGGAACCTCCTGCCTCAGACTCCCAAGTTGTAGGGTCTCCCAATTACAGGTGTGTACCACCAGGCCAGGCAACCTGTCCTCTTTTTACATTGATTATTGAACATATTTTATTCCAGTAACAGAATGCTGACTAATACATTTATTGACTCAGTAATTAAAACATTGGTTTTTTTTCAGGGCATCTACATAGAGATAGATTCTGCAGACATTTGACCAAGAAGGGAAAACTCAACTTTAAGTGAGAGCACATATATGAATATGGGATGCTTGACTCAAGAGTCTGAATATAAAATGCTGCTTCCTAAGCTTTTGTTACTCAGCTTAGGAGAGGGGTTCTTACCATGTTTAGCTGATTGAGTCAAAGTTGGAGCAGAGAACTTTAGCCTTCTTAGCCTTCCAAGCCACTGGGATTACAGGTGTGCATCACCACTCTCAGCTCTACCACCTCCTAATAGCACACCAGGCTGTAGACCAAACCTTCAATACATGGGCCTTTGGGGACACTCTTGATCCATACTACTATACCTAGTGCATCCTCATTTAAAATTTACCAGAAATTAACTGAAGATTTTTAGATTAAAAATTGCTATTTTTAGAAGTGTTACCTGTCAATCAGCCTAAATTGTCTTATTGAGATTGGCTAAAGATATCTGCTCTCCAGGTCAAATACCTACCAAACAGTATTGTATAATGCAAGTAACCAAAATGAGGTGTATCAGCAGTGGTTCAGTTCCAGTTGGTATTACTAGTGGTGTGAGCTGCTGGAACTGCATCTGCAGTTGTGCAAGTGTGCAGTCTCCTTCAGGATGTTTTTTTCTAGCTATTGAAACACTTTTATGTCCAATAAGCATATGTCATTTTTCTTGATTCCTGCTTTGCAAAGCATGTGGGTAGAGTGTTGGACTTACCTCGGCTGCTTCTCTGCAAAGTGGCGAGGTTTGTGGCAAAGCAGATGACTATAGGAAATAAGACTTTCTACAGAAGTAATAGATTATAGACAGTCTAATTCCCAATTGTTTGATCTTTAATTGAACCTGGTTAAATCCGTCACCTTTGCTCCATGAGGCAAGTCCAGGGAAGGTTTGAATCTGAGTTTAGGAGGTTGAATAACAGAAGCTTAGATATTTGGATCCATTTCACAAATCCATGCAAAATCAGTTAAACAAACATTGTTCAGCAGATACTAACTATAGCTTTATGGTCTTACCAGTGGGTTTCTTTGTAATTTGGCAAAGGTTATCTGAAATACAAGTGCTAAGCCTAAAAAATGGAGAAATTGTCAGAGATTTTTTGTGACATTTAATGCCAGATAACAAATTAAATAAAGCCAAGTATCATGAAGAATTATAATAATAGGTGGGGATATATGTTATGTCACAAGTCTATGAATAAAAGAGACTATTTGCCAATTTGTTTGGAAAATAGATTATATACTAGAAAAATTTAAAATTTAATAGAAGTTAATGCTAAAAATAATGAAATAAGTTGCTATCTCTGATGAGGCAAATCCTTTGCAAGCTGGAACCAAGATTGATTTAGGAATACAACCCAAAACCACCAAGAGAAACCACATCACAGCTGTAAGGATGGCAATGATAACCAAAATAAAAAATAACAAATGTTGGCAAAGAGAGAAACTAAAACTCCTTTAACATTTCCCATGGAAATATAAATGGTGGAAAACAGTTTGGTAGCTCCCCTACAAGTTAAACATAGACTCCCCCTGTGATCCAGCAATTCTACTACTGCATATATATCCCCAAAGAAATGAAAACAGGTATCCAAAGGATCTGTACACATACGTTCACAGCAGCATGATTCACGGTTGCCAAAGAGGGATAGCCACACCAATGTCCTCCAGTGGATGAATAGGTAAAAAAAAATGTGTTTCATCCATATGAAAGAATATTTTCAGATAAAGACAAAATGAAAGGCTAGACGTGCTGACATATAAATGTAAATATACACCCATTATGCTTTCATAGTCCCTCAGTTGCAAATTCACCTTCTTTTGATTATTCTATTATCCTGGAGCTGGTCCTTGCAAATCTCTCTTTGTCAGCCAGAATAATGTTAAACCCTGTCTGGAAGGAATGCTGGGAGAGATAAGTTGTTCCACTCATTCTTTGTCCGTCTTTTGTTAGATAAGAGAACTGGGCTCAGAAAGTTGCCCTAGTCACATAGCATAAGTGACAGCTGGAGCTAGAGCTGAAGCTTGGGTCTGCTGCTGGAGCCCCCAAATTCACCTGCTCTGAAGCTTTTTTACAAAGGTAGCCCCTCTCCATCTCCTCTCCGCTGCAAGCAAACATCTGGAAACCCTCATTCCAGAGCTTGTTTCATTCCCATTGCTTACTCTGACCTGCTTTCCCATCTTGGTTCCCAGCTGCCTCATCCCATGTGGATCCCTATTCTATCTAGCTCCTGGACAAGGACCTATGTTTCTACACCATCTGACACACCTGCATTGGTGTGCAGAGTGCAGGGGTGCTTTGTTAGCTCAAGGAGGCACTGGAGTGGGGTCAAATGTTTGCCTTATTCATCCAGGTAGCTGGTGGCAGGTGCTGAGACTGAAGTGGTTGACACCAGTCATTACCTACTTAATGACCTACAACTACAGGTCAAGAAGGAAAGCTTACCAACACCACAGAGACAAAAACCTGCTGGAGAATGTGGGATTTGATTTTTGCCCTATCTTAAGTGCACATCATATTTTTTATATTGTAATTTTCCTTTTAAAAAACTTTTTTGGATGGGGCTGGGAGTGTAGCTCAAAGGTAGAGCGCTTGCCTAACACGGGTTAGGTCAGCACTGCATGAAAATAAATAAAAGTTTAAAAAGGGGGCGGGGCTAGCTCAGGGGTAGCGCACCCCTTCCAAGCATGTATAAGGCACTGAGTTCGATCCTCAGTACCATACAAATAAATAAAGATATTGTGTATCCAACTCCAACTTAAAAAAATTTTTTTAAAGGTTAAAAGAATTCTGGAGTACTTTGTAATTATCACATACATGGATTTATTATTTAAAATATTCTTGTGAAAGTGCATCTTTATGTTAAAATACATTGTGTTCATTATCCTGAATATATTATTTTTAGCCTTTACTTTTACCATATTCTTGGACATTGTTATTTGCATCTTATAGGTTTTTGTTTTGTTTTGTTTTTAAGATGGGACTGGGTGTGTGGCTCAGTGGAAGAGTGCTGGCTGAGCTGGGTTCCATCCTAAGCATTGTAAATTGAGAACTTAATAAATAATAAATAAAAGATTACATTTTGCTTGTTGACAAAAGGTAGAGACTGTCTCTCTTCCTTTTGCAGACGTTTTCCTTTAGAGAACTAGTCCTAGAAATATTTCCTGTCTCCCTTTGATTCACATCTAAATCTTTTAAAAAGTGGTATAAGCTGCTTGCCAGCATTCCAGCCAGGAATGCATTCCTAGGCCTGAGTCATCTCTCTAAGATGTAAACCTTGAGGAAGACAGCGTCCCTATGTCCCTGTCACCTTGGGAGTTTGGTGCAGGCACCCTACTCTGAGCTGTAGCTACCTGCTTGTCATAGAGATGTGAGAAGTTTTGCTTTTCGTTGGGATAAAGGCAAGAGCTCGGACGACCACCTCGATTACCAGATGAACTCAGGATGAGTCCTGTGACAACGGCGAGCCCACGGTGCGACAAGTGCTTTCACCCAGGACCAGCTGCAGTTTATCCTGAGCCCAGGTGCGCGGGCTGGAGGGTCCCTGCTTGGTATTAGAAAGGCGAGGCGTCCTCCTGCAGTCTCCTTAGTGGTTCGCCTAGGATGCGCATCACAGTCTGGCTCAGTGCTTCCTCAGGATAAAAACGGTTGTCTTCACTTTCTGCATTTGTGCAGAGGAATTCCTGGGTTAGCAGATTTTGTTTTTACTATTTCCCCCACCAGCTTTTAAGAACCAATTAGGCCAGAGAGCTGTTACATTATTTCAGCCCGAATTAGTGAGAACCCATTGTGCTTATGGTCTCCTTTTCGAGGATGGACATTTGAACCTAACTCTAAACGTGATCTTCTCGGACAGGCACAGTCACAGGTGGTTCCTTTCAGTTGGTGTGCGCTGTCTTTTTGCAGTTTGGGCACATTACTTGTGCGATCTGGAAAAGCTACGGTTTCTGTCTTCTTTCCCTTCCTTGGACAGCATCGCTGGACAACTGCTGTAGCCTAGCCTTTGAGAAACTTCTGCAGGACACATCTTCTTCGGTTTGTCAGAACTTGGGTCCCTACCGAAGGCTCTGAGGAAGAGAGAACCTGGACTCCCGGGACCAACCACTCAACCCGCTGCTAGAAGCAGAAAGGGACCGGAGAGAAATGCAAAACCGAGCGCGGGGTTCGCGGCGGCCAGGGCAACAGCAACTCTTAACCGCAGGACGAGGCAGAGACCTTTGCATCGTTCCCTAAATCCGGCGGCGCGCAGACTTTTGGGAAATAGAGTCCGAGTAGGGGTCCCGCGGGCTTCGGGCGGCGTCCTGCGCATGTGCGCTTCTCCCTGTGTGCGTGCTCACGCATGCGCCTCGCCGCGGCCTCGCCTGGCTTCCTGTCCATCCAGGTGACCGCCGCCCGGGTTCCCAGGCTGTGCCCTCGGGTGGGCGAGGATTTGGGAACCTGTGGGGTGCACGTCGACCGGACGGGCTGGCGTCAAGTGTGCGTGCCTGTGTGATCTAGTGTCCGGGCCGAGGCTCGAGCGCGACTGCCGAGCCCGCGGCGCGGGGCCTGATTGTTGGGCGGGCAGCGGTGGCGGCGAAGGGGCAACGGAACCCGGGCGGGCGGTGGCTTCCTTGGCAGCCAGGCCGGTGCTCGCTGGACGGTGAGTCCTGAGGGGGCGGGTCTGGGCCCCGCAGGGAGGCGCGGTCTCAACTTGTGCTCTAGGCCCAGCTCTGGCCTTTCAGAAAACGAAAGGCCTGGCAAGGGGCAGCGCGACGGGCGGGGCGTAGCAGCGGCCAGCTGGAACCTCCCGGCGCTCTGTTGCCCTCGGGAAGTCGCGAGACCGAAGCTGCACAACCTCAGAAGAGGCAGTCTTGGTTTTGCTCGCCGCCATGAGCGGACCTTAGGTGCAGCCACTTCGTGGTGGACATTAGCGCCCGGGGCACGGAAGGGTTTAGCGGTTTCTCGGTTTGGGGCCAAGGCGGGTTGCAAGGTCTTCCGCGCTCGGTGGGAAGATCTAGAAGGACACATGGACACCAGCCTCAACTGCGACTTATATCTGCACCCCATCTTCCCCTTCCTCCTCTCAACGCTTCTGTCTCAGTGTGTCAGTAAACCTCCATGGGCACCTCAGTTCTGTGTTGAGTTCCCCCTCGCCCTGGTAGAATCATAATGCAGCAAAGGAAAAATCTCTTACTTCTTTGGTTGGTAGAGGAAGGCTTTATGCCTGACATGGTGGATGACTTGATCAAGGTCATGGGGTTTGTTGATAGGATTGCATTTAATAGTAGTCAAACTTTCAAGCCAACGTTCTGTCTACTGTAGTTTTCTTTTTTCTTTCTTTTTTTTTTTTTAAGTTAGTGCACGAAGCCAGGCATGGTGGCACATGCCTGCCAGCTGAGGCAGGAGGATTGCAAGTTCAAAGCCAGGCTCAGCAATAGCAAGGCGCTAAGCAACTCAGTGAGATCCTGTCTCTGAATAACATACAAAATAGGGCTGAGGATGTGGCTCAGTGGTCAAATGCCCCTGAGTTCAATCCCTGGTACCCCCCCCCCAAAAGAAATAGTGCATCATATATATCATTGCGGAGTTTACTCTGACCTATAAGTAAATGAATATAACATAGTTTGCTCCATTTCAATCCCAAGTACTACTCTATTCCCACTCCCCCATCCTCCCACACTTCCTCTACTCTCTTGGTCTTCCTTCTGCTTTTTTTTTTTTAATTGGTGCATTAGAGATGTACATAAAAGTGGAATTCATTGTGTTATGTGCATACTCATAAGATAGTAATTCATGAATAAAGAGAGAGATACTGAATCTCAGAGGAAGTGCCCATAAACCGTCGAAATGCAGAAAGCATCCATAAATAATTGCAACTCCTGAACAACATCCTCTTAGCCCATGCTATTAATGCAGGGAAAACCTTCATGAAATTATGTAGCTTGATCTTATTTCTAGTCCAGACTCTAGCAACTATTCCTTTATAAATATAACAGCCCGTATCAACAAGTTGCTGTCTCCTCCTCTGGAAATAACCTGCATCCTCCCTTGCATGTATATTCCTTGCTTTATCCCAAAGGTGACTCTTAATTTTGCCCCCATTCTCCCTTAAATATGTATCCACTTTCCTAAATGAACTTCTGTTTATTCCTATGACTGCATGCTGTATGCAAAGAATCCCATTGGTCCTGAGTCAAATTCTCCCTTCATTCTGGGAACCCCTTGCACCCTTTTTGCAAGACATGTCTTCTCCCTGGCCACATGAACATAATGTAGTTTGTTTCATTCTACAATTCCTTCCCTCTCCTCTCCTTCCTTCCTCCCACTTGATTCCCTTCCTTTACTCCAGTGTTCTCCCTTCTGTTTTCATGAGATTCCCCCGACCTTTTTTAATTATTATTTAAGATTCCTTATTTCTCTGTAGCTTCCATTTATGAGGAAAGGTCAGATTCTCAATACCTGTGGCTTGTTTGCTTTTTAAAAAATTAAAGAGACAATAAGACACATGAGTACTCTAAGGGGAATTTTTTTTTCCCCACCTGTGTCAGGCTGACAAAGAAGTCAATGTTTATGTTCACCATTGAGAATCTTTTATTTATTTTTTTATTTTTATTTTTTAAAGAGAAAGAGAGAAATTTTTTAATATTTATTTTTTAGTTCTCGGCGGACACAACATCTTTGTTTGTATGTGGTGCTGAGGATCGAACCCGGGCCGCACGCATGCCAGGCACGCTACTGCTTGAGCCACATCCCCAGCCCGAGAATCTTTGTTTTAAATATTTATTTTTTAGTTGTACACAATACCCTTATATTTTTTATTTATGTGTGGTGCTGAGGATTGAATCCAGGGCCTCGAATGTACTAAGCAAACACTCTACCACCAAGCCACAACCCCAGCCCCGTCATCATTGAGAATCTTAAGTCGTCTAATTACCACTTGATCACATTGGAATTCGAAAGGTACAAGTGTATGCTTCCTCCTTCTCACCCATTTTTTCTCTTCTGAAAGTTCAGGGATTAGATTTCATTGAGCTTAATTTCAAGGTTCTCATACAGGTAATTCCTACCTCTGCAGACCAGGTAACTGCTGTCTTGAATGACCTGCTTCTCCTCCCTTAGGTCCACCATCGACAATCTCTACACTTTTCCAAGAGCAGCAGAAAATGAACAAATTGCAGGTGAGTTTTCTGTGTATATTTTCTTTCACTTTCCTTTGTAATGCATCTTAGGTTTTTAAGAATTTGTACTTTAAAATGGAAATATAGAAATCAATAAAAGACAGCAGATCAGCACTGAGACTCTTCTGTCAGGGACTTAATGTGTAAGTAATGTGATACTTTAATGAAGGTAATGAAGCCACAGATGTTCTTGACAGCCATAGGGACAATATCCATTGCAGCATTTACATCAGTATAAGAATCCATTTTTGTTACTTGTGGCTTTTAACGATTTCTTATAGCTCAGAAAAAATTTTCTTTGCTAAAGTTGATATGATTTTGGATAGCTTTCCTAATAACAACCATTAAATCATTGCAATGCTGACTTACTTGTTGGCTGTGTCAGCAGATGGCCAGCTGCCCACGGAGAACTGGGTTCATATAACTTCCCAGGGACCAAAGTATTGAGCTAAGTAGACACATTTCTGCTTTTACTCTTTTAAACTACAGATGAACCTAAATCATGGGGAATGAGCTGATCATTCTTGAAATATTTCTGTAAGTCCATTTTGGTTGCATAGCAAACAATATAAAAATAATTATCTTATAAAGATTTTTTTCACTTCCCATTCACATTTCCCTTTTGAGTGTTTTAGTTGCATCCTCACCACTTTCCTGAATCTGTGAGGAAGGAATGCTGGAGATTTAATTATGGTCAAATCCAGCAGCCTTTCCAGTCCTTATCCACTATGACTCTTTATCTGCTTTGATATTTGTTACTTCCAAACTGATTGATACTTTTTTAATGGTATTTCCCTTCTTTGGGCTTAAAAAAATCATCTGTAAGTATTTCTTTAAATTATAAGGAGTCTTTTTAACAAGGGTTAGAGACTACCTACAATGCCATTCTTTTTTAGTATATAATATCCAGTGTTCAGAATTTCAGTTTTCCCAACAATATTTTTGATTTGCTTGTTTTTTTTCAGAATATAGGTAGATTCCATGCTGATTGATTGATAAGTCTTTTAAGTCTCTCAATAGTAGCTTTCTTAATATGTTTCTTGTGTTATCGTTTGCCATTTGTTTTTCTTAGAAAGTGGGTTGTTTATCCTCAGTTTCCCAGTTGAGAATGTGTTGCCATCATTTTACTTTTAACACATTTTTAAAATTCTTTGTATGCCTTGTAAAAGTGTTGGTTTGATCTGGAAGTTCAATCAGATTTATGTTTAGTTCTTTGAGCATTTGTGTCCCTCTAGAGGCACATCCTGTCCTTCTATCCTTTTTGTAAGTTTAGCATCTACTGATTGATGTTGATTGTCATGATCCAGTAATTCACTAGGGAAGGCAGGATGGTAATCCATTAATTCTACCATTTCTTCATTTATCTGCTAGAATAATTTTCTGAAAGTAAACATTTCTCCATTTTAGTTAAGTGGTTGATACAGAAAAAAACGTTTTCAATATATTGGGTAGGCTCCTGAGCAGCATGCTTTTTTGTTTGGTTATCATGAACCAGTGTGTTCTTTTTTAAAATTTTTT